AATTTAAATAGTTTTCAGCTGACTTAATTGTTTGTTTGTTTTTGTTTTTGTGTTGTTCATGATTTTGAAATGGAAGTAAAAACTATGTAACATAATGTTAGTTTCATTTTATATTTAAAACTGTTCAGTCACTAACAAGACTACAAGATCGCGCCACTCATCCTACACTCATCTCCATTCATACTTGGCTTAAAATACCTACTATGTATGGTCACCATTTCATCGAACAGTATTAACAGTTTTTAATAAATCTTTCTTGGTATCTGCAATTTGAATGTGGAATTCTCTTCCTGACCATATAAAATCCATATATTGGGGCAGAGATTAAATCTTTTATATTGAACACATATAATAGATTATGCCTGAGCAGGCATGAGTATGAGTCTCTGGCGCTGGTATGACAGGTTGTTGGCGGCTTGTGTGAATGGGATTAGGCTACTAAATTTAATTTCTTCATGTTTCCTTATTTATGGTACTTTAGATTATTTAAATTTATTTATTTAAGTGAATAGTTTTTATTTATGTTTTAGAGGTAAAATGGTAGAGAGAACTTACAAGTCCTAACTTCCCCTCTTAAATATAGACATTTTTAATTTCATTTATTTTAATTTCATGTATTGTATTCAACGAGCACACAATACAATAGAGAAGACAGACGGATATTATCCTATGCATTTACAGTGAAGCAGGATTCGCCATATTGGCCCGACACCCAGCCCGAAATCTTCGAGCCGGGCGCTCACTCCACGGTGAAATCGCGCGACAAATACACTGTCATTACCCACAGTTAATGTTGAAGGATATCGATGAAATTTGGCATGATTTTAGAAAATTTTCTAATGATAACGATGGTATAAATTTTACATTGATAATAGTTGTATTTATCGTTGTATGAATTTTTTATTACACACATGTCGTTCTGATTTTTAAAACGTGACATGAAAAAGTTGTTCTGTGAGAAAATTTTTTATTTTTTGGTCAGAGACATTTTGTCAGCGGGAAAGTTGTAGAGGAATAAATGAATTTAATTTTTTATTCCAAACTTTTTTTTCTATCGTGACTGGTTTTTTCATAATTCCAGGTAGAAGCAAGGCGGCAAAACGGTCTTTTAGATCGCCGCGCCGCCGCCGTAATCCGCTGCTGCCCGGCCAGAACATTATTTTGTTTTATTTGTTGTGTTTCATTTCATTTACCAATAAATATAAAATGTTGCCGCCTCTATATGTACAAGTGTTGTAGAGTACTTAAGTTTCATTCTTAATCAAGACTTTATATTTTTATAAAGGATAAATAATTAATAGTTTGATACGTTGATTTTCATAATGAGAAATAGGGTTGATTATGCAGAACTGACAGGGTATAGCAACGAATTAAAACTATTTTTACAGCATTCTGTTATTCTGTAGGTGATTTTGGGTGTAAAATAACGTAGTCAAAGTACTTAAACAACATATTTATTGGCCTAAAAAAATAACAGTTTTATTCAAATGTTGTCTCACTTTACTTTTATGAAGGCTTTCATTTCTTAGCTTACAATAATAGTGTAATCTTGTCGAAAAATACTTGTTAGCGATTAATTTTATAACAAAAAAAAAATGATTATCATCCAGTTCAATTTCCGAGAAATGTAAGTTTCCAGGAAATAAATTTATTCCTATACACTTGCTTAGTATGTAATTTGTCATTTTACTAATAATGTTTTTATCAGCTAGACAATTCTGATCGTTATTAAAAACTCCAAACTTACTCTTGAAATAACTTTCACAAATTTTGCATATTTTGATAACACTATCGGACGGTTGTACTAACCCTCCCCTATCCTTACTTACAATTAAACTTAAAAAAATATTGTTCTTGTCCTTTCTTAAACATTGGACACAATCTTCACACAATAATTTAGAAGATATTGACCTTACAACAAAACCAGCTATATATTCTACAATATTAAATTCTATATCCGACTGACAAGAAGGAACAAATAAATCTTCTTCTTCATCCATACTTGAGAGAGATTCTTTAGCATTTTCCTCCAAGGTACGCCATTCTGATAATGTACTGTTTAATGCGACTAGCGCATTTTGTTTTGACTTCACGTCAAAAATTAACGATCGGTCTAGGATCAGACAGTTACCACTTTCATTCTCCTCCAACTCCTTATGGAGCAGTATTCTTTTAAAAGTTGATGTAAACTGTTTACATGTTGGATTGTTATTATGGCCGCCTCATGACCTTATATAACCAAAGAGGCGCTCCAAGTGGTCCTGACTTATTTTGTACATTGGAAGAAATTTCAGTTGGGCATTTGATGAACTATGAAGGACATATCGATTGTACATACCCATAGCACTGTCTATGCATATCAAGAATCCAATAAAACCCGTTTTTCGGTTAGTGTCACAAATTGGCTTACCCATATTATTCTTTAACTGTAAGATATAGTTTTTTGCCTCTTGCAAAAATTTGTTTGTACTTTCGATATTCTTGGGATATAGTGCCTGCTTTTTATATTTCTCATTGATACTCCTAGAGTTTAAAATATCGAAAAGATCATTAAATAATCTTATAAACTTAACAGTTGCAGAACAGTTTATAAATCTGTCATCATGGTTGTCTGAAAGGAATTTCAAAGAGTCAGCCACTGAAGTACTAAGTAACTGGGCCGCTAATTTGACCTTCATTTTTTGTTTCCAATATTCAATATGTGACTTAGTCAGTTTATTACCAAGGGTTAATTCAATTTCTGTTTGAAGTTTATACAAAGATTCAATGTATCGCCATTCAATAATATTTCCATCAACTAAAATTTTAAGATCGCCAAATGCGTTCCTTACAAGTTTTACCATATGACTTGGGTCTAAAAAGAAAAATACAGGATCTTGCGTAATTGGATGGGGGAAGTAGGTAATCAATTCTGTTTTTGTTAGATTGCAGCCTAAAATATTACCCATCGAAATATTACATGCTGTTCCATCACAAGTCAGTGATGATACTTTTACTCCAACATCATGCAGTAAAGTCAACCCTTGCTTTACTAAAGCGCCCAGCTGACTTCCTGTTAAACCAGAAACAAAGAAATATCCAACAGGAAGTTTTAAATGGGATTTTAAAAATACTAAGTTAAAAACTAAGGCCTCTGTTGCAAGCGGTGCGTTATCATCTTCTAAAGGAACGCCCACATTTACCGTACCATGAAATCTTTTACCATCAAATTCTATATGCTTACGAATAGACATTGAATCTAGCATAAAAGCACACAATGTTTCCCCGTTTCTGTTAGTGTATTCTTTTAGAGCTCTTGATATTTCCTGTGAAAAACCAGGTTCACCATCAACTGTTGAGTACCACCTACACAACGTTCTGGGGTGCGGCAAGGCTGTGTCAAATGTTTTCCGTACAAATCTGTAAGCTTTGGGGGATAAGAAATGGAGAGTTATAGCAAAGGCTTTGAGGCGATCCTCGTAGACCTTTCTCATTTTTGGATTGATATTTTTTTCGTGAGATCTTTTTAACAGGCATGCTGATGTTTTTGATAAAGAACTTAGCAGTAAACAGTTCTCATCGGCAATATTTAATTTGTCTTTTAAAACAGTTATAATACTTTTAAGGTTACCAATTTTTTTTGTAATCCTTCTCTTTTTTTGATTCAGATTTCTAACTTTTCTTTTTGATGTCTGCAGCAAGCTTTTAGTTTTGTCAAGCTCCTTTTTTAATTTCTTTTTCCTTGGGGACTCTAAAACACCTACATATGTCTCACCAGTGCTAAATACCTCATCGACTGTCCTTTTCAATGGCTTTCTTTCCTTGGGAAGTTCTTTTCCTTGAGCTGGAAACACGCAGGGGACTGCTCCCGGCCTCAACCTGACGCATGATGAAGACGTCCGGTCCAGATCTGACTCTCTGAAGTGTGCGGAGCACAGCTGACTCCACTTCGATGGCTCCCAGTCCTTTCTGCTCACTGCTATAGTCCATTTCTCCCTCAGGTGCTCGTCTTTAGGGAACTAAAAAAATTAAAAACCTCTTAAAAAACAGCAAATCTTGTAAAAGTAATAATAATTGCTTTGAAAATCTAGGAAGAAGCTGTTTATTCCCTTTTGAGACAAAAAACAACAAAATAGTTATACAGTATTTAGTTTTATAAATTAGGCCTGATACTGTTATTTTGTTTAATAAAGTGGTCTTCTTTTTTTTAAATTTAATTACCATTATTCAATGATTAACCTAACGTTAACCAAAGAGTAAAAAAACTTCATAGTTCATTAGGCATAAACAAATCTCTTCCTAATTCGTTAACACTTAAGACATAGGGCCTACATGAAAAAGAATAATTAGTTGATCGGGTGACCGACTATGGTATTTGTTATCATTAGATACCGGTATTTGGTCTGTCGATGTTTTGTGTTTAGGCCTATTGGTAATAAAATAAAAAGGTATTGATCAAGAAGCAATGCTTACCTGGTGAAATGTTATACCAGCGGGTGGTCGATATCCCTTTTTGTTGTTTGCTGTCCGATTAGTACACCCAAACGCTGCACAATTAACCATCTTATGAACGATTCACTAGAGTCCGACAACATATTACGGCTAACACTGACATTTGATGCGTGTAAAAGTCACAACTTTGCACACCGAAATAAATCGTCTGGACGTCTGGCACTGTCTGGGGGAGGCAGGCGTGGTGGTGGCTGGTGGTGTTAGTGATGGCAGGGGGGCGGGTGCGGGGAAGTCTGACGCTCGGACTAGGACAGCGCCGCCATGTTGGCCCGACACCTCCGGCCGCTCAGCCGGCTTCACTGGGCGCTCCAAGTAGCCTCTCTATTGTATTGTGTACTCGATGATTGTATTGCTCAAATAATGTATAGCTCCAATTTAGTATAGCTATAATTTAGTATAGCTCCAAATAATGTTTAGCACCATAAAGTTTACATGAATAAAAACAGATTTACATTGATAATTTCTGAAAAACTATAGGCATCTTTAATGATTTTATCTGCTTGTTGCAGTTTAATCGGGTCCGTCAGCGACTGGAGAATTTGCAAGATCTTGCCATTAAAAAGGCTAAGCAGGTAGGTAGTGTAATTTTGAAATGTAATCTCATAGACTAACCAACACTAGGTAATAAGTACATACGAAGTAGGCAATTGTACAATCTTATTGGATGGAGAACAAAACTAAACTACACGCAATCACAGAAAACATACTACTATAACCCAGAACGCCAACTGCATGGTAAAAAGCGTTAAGTACTTTGAGAGAGCTTTGCCTGTCAATTCCTAGGCAGCGCCACCAGCGTTGCTATGCACTCACCTTTACTGAAAATGCAACATTTTTGGGCTTAAATATCGATAAGAATTTAACATGGAAAACACACATAAAAATGAATGTTTGTTGGTAAATTAAATACCGCTTGCTTTCAAATGTATGTTTTGGTTTTGAGAAATGTAATTTAAATGTGATTTAAAAATTAAACTCACAGTATACTATGCAATGTTCTTTTCTGTCTTGCAATACGGGATTGAATTATTGGGAGCAACTTCTTTTTCTAAAGCAGTTTTCAAAATTCAGATGAAATTTATAAGGATTTTATCATTTATGCCTAAAAGAACCTCATGCAGAGCTTTATTTGCTAAATATGAGATATTAAATTTGCCTTCACTTTATATATTTAAAATTATGGTGAATTTTAAAATTAATTATCAAATGTACAATGATAAACAAGTCAGTCATCCGTATCTTACACGCTCAACAAATTTTCAATATCCAAAGACATCGCCTATGTTTTTATGAAAGGTCTCCTTATTATATGGGATTACGGCTTTACAACAGTCTACCCACTAGTTTCAATGAAATTAACAGTGTATTTCAAAATTTAAAAATGATTTCAAACAATACCTTTTACAGAAAAATTATAATAACATTTCCGAATATTTAAATGATAAGTATATGTGGATTTTAGTTTTATTATGTAACTTAGTGTTTAAGATCTCTGACAATATAACCTGTTTCACCAGCTAACGCTGGATCTGTGAAATTTATTGTGATAGTAAAGTAATATTTCATTTCAAGATGAAAATTTGGGGTTGTTATATATACACCCCCAGAAAAGTTTGTGTGCAGTTTGGTGCAGATCCGAAAAAGGGCTCTGCCCCAGTGGCTCTGGAGTTTCCCATGTTAACCTTATGAGTACTTATATTTAAATGGAATTAAAGAATCTTAACAGCTAGTTCAAAAAACTGTTTGATTCTGTGATGTTCAATGGCATTCAAAAGTGAATAGGTTTACCTACAGGGTGCAGCACTATTCTTTTTTTTAATTTATTAACACAGCTAATTTGCAACCAAAAGGTGAGTAGCGAACAAACTTCAACCTGGAGGCGAGTTAGTGTAGCGAACGAGCTAAGCCTGAAGGCAAGTGAGCGCAGCAAACGAGCTCCAACCTAATGGTGAGTAAGCGTAGCAAACGAACTTCAACCAGGACGTGATTGAACGAGTTAATCTTGAAAAGGAACGAACATTTGACATAAAACAACATTAGGACAGCACGACATCTGTCAGGCCAGCTAGTAACATTTTTAATTGGTACCTATTAAAAATTGAGACATCATGAAATATTTGCAAAACTTAAATAAATATGCTTATGAGAATTGATAAGAGTTTTTAAGTACATTTTAATTACATCTGTACTTGAAATATATTAAAACCAAGAATATATTTATGAGATTCTCTTCAAACTATTCTGTGAAAAAGTCCTACATCAGGATGAAATATCAGTGTTTTGTTTTGTGTTGTTGTATTGTGTAGGCCTATCTATTATCCCTGAACTCGAAGTTTCTCAGGTAAGCCTGCGGGACTATAATCCTAAAAAAAACTCCTATCTATAGTCTACCTTTAACTACTGTGCTGCAACAAAACAGATCTTGGTTGTAATGAATTTGATTTTTTTTTATTTTGATCTGAAATTTGTTTGCAGGAGATGAGGAGTCCTTGAAAGTTAATAAGGTACGTTGAAATTTGTTATATAAACTTGTTAAGTGATGCAGTTATGTTATGTAAAAAATTGTGAAAAGTAGTAGGAAAAAAAACTAATAATCTTTTTTATTTATACTTTTGTTTCAGGGATGAATTGTGTGAACTGTACATGGTTGAAAAATGTAAACCTTTAAATCCTAAAGGACCCAGTGTGGCAACAGCAAATGCAAGCCCACAAAGCGCAGGGAAATGATTTTGTATTGCTGTACTCTTTATTTTGGCGTTAAAGACAAATTACAATACCAATCCAGTAGTTTTTTTTCTTTCTTTTGTACGTTTAATGTTATGTAGACAATGTTTATTTAAGTAGTCAAAGAAAAAATATTTTTATTTCCAAGATATTTTTACAAAAAAACATAATGAAATATAAATCTTTTGGTTGCATGTATCCTAAATATACAACCTTTCCTTTAGTCTTAGATGATAAGATAAACACTCTGATGCACAATGAAATTTAAAAATCTCAGTTTCAAGCTACGTTTGTCTATGCAAATACTGGCGTGATAGAAAATTTATTTTTACTGCTCTCACATAGTAGTTACAAGTCTGATCAATGTAATAAAAATGTAAGTTTGCTAACATGAAATTTCAACTTAAATGGCCCGTCTTGAAAAAGTTAAATAAAATTCCTGTTAAAAAAGAAAACAATTAAGACTAAAAATATACAGTCTAACACAAATCATAACTGAACGACTATTGACAATATGCTGTACCGTAAAATATAATGAAATAAAAACAAAAATTTACTAACTGAACACAAATTTAGAACTACAGACGTTCTTCCTTAAAATAAATTATTTTCCAAATATTACCAGTTAAATTATTTGAATGTTTCTCCTTAATTGGAATTATTTTACATTGAATACAATTAGATACATTATTGCATAGAAAACAGTTTTGAAAAATTATTCATTTCTTAACACTAGAGGACCCATGCTGCTCCGCAGCGTTGAAAAATATCATATAAATATCATATCCGAGAAATAATCAAATTTACGATTTTTGATTGAGTAATACAACTCTTAAAACTTAACTCTTAAGTTTTGCTCTTGAACTTAACTGATTGAAACAATCAATAGCTCAAATCAAAGCCTATAATTTAATGATTGTTATGAGTCCAAAACATATAAAAAACCGTAACAATACTGGAGCTATTGATTTTTATTCATAGAAAAACCTTATAAAAAATTACTTTTATATTGGTACCTTGTATTTGCTTAAAACTCATCCAATTTGAAATTATTATAACTAGTGAAATTCATATTACAGTAAATTGAAGTAAGAATTAGAAAATAAATCAAATTTATGTTTTTTGGGTTGAGTAATTAATGTTTAATACAGCAGATAAATAAATGCCAATGCTTGATGTGAAATCTGTGCGTACACACCTTCAATTTGAGACCTCAATCATGAAAATCGGTCAAGTAGAAGAGGCAAACGAACTCGGAAAAGAAAAACCAAAAGGTCCACTTCGCCCTCTAGTAACACAAATATAACTATTCACATATTCAGTGATCCACTACTTCCTCAGGGCCTTCGTTTGAGGTCGGGTTTGTGGCTCTGTACTCTACTATAAATACCTCTCATTTCATAATATGCATAACAACCTATGCTTACATTTAAGATTTTCTCCTAGCTTGTAGCGGGCTGTCCCCCTGAGGAAGTAGCGGATCACTAAATGTGTGATCAAATAGATTATTACATCCAGTAACTTTGTGCAAAGCTTTGTAGCTCTATATCTGAGCAAAGCGAAGCGAAGCTCTTATACCACACTCCTGCTTTTGTTTTACAAATACTCCTGAACGGCTGAAGTGATCTGCAAGGAATTTAGCACAGTCAGAGTAACCAACCACAGGAAGGTATATATCTGAAATGGTACAAATTGGACCACAGGGCACTTCCCTATGTGAATTTAAACTTTTAGAAATTCAACATGGACGTACTACAGTAGAACCTCGATAGTTGGACACTTTGTGACTTCGAACTATAGGGAGTAAATGGAGTTTAATATACAGGAAAGTAAAAATATAAGTTTTATATAGAAATCACCCAAATTTAAATACTAAAAAGCTTAACAATTTCACTGTTAATTAGTTAAGTCTCAAGTCAACAATAAATGACAAATGTTCAAGTCAGCTTGCATCACGTTAGAAACCATTAAATATCACTTGACAAAATAGCTCAGCCCTTGTCGAACTGCAAGGGAGTTTTAAACTTACGAAGGTTTCTGTATTTGCAAGATAACTATAAAAAGGTAAACAAGAGTCATAAATATATGTTAGTCAACGAACAATCTAAATATAGCACAAGCACATTACAAACACCGAACAGAGAAAAAGGGAAGAACAATGGGATGAATATCATTGAGCATAATTTACTATAAAATGAGTTACCAATAATTAGGGTCGCCAGAATTAGGTGGATGCACCATTGACTTAAATACTCCAAATAGCTATTCCATTTATGTGAACTAGACGTACCATTAACTTTGGATAGGCATTTCATTGATTTATGTGTAACAAATATACCAATTGACTTAAGTTACTGCAAGTAGATGTCACATTTACTTGAACCAGAAGTGCCATTGGCTTAAAATACTGCAAAGTAGGCATTTTATTTATACTAGTTGGTCATCCAGTGGATGAAAACTCGACCAAAAATATGTAATTTACACTCACTGACTATTGTATAGTGAAGTAGACATCCCTTCTATAGACCAGCCATTGCAACTTTTTTTTATTAAAAAACATGTAGTTGTGTGAGCCAGTCACAGAATGCGTGTCTAAAACTCTATTTCTACCTTAATTTTTGTTGCTGAAAAAGTTGATGGGTCATACATAACAGTTGATATAGCTCATAATAAGTCATTGCAGAAGTTTGACTTGGTAAAAAACATTGTGTATTCGACAGAAATTAGTTACATTTTAGATCAGCGCAATCTGTTGGTGGCTCATATCAACTACGACGAATTTAATTTAAAAACTGACAACAACTTTAACATGGGGATGGAATGTCTAGTTGTAAGTCAGAGCATAGACAAAAATAATTAAATATAGACTGTCAGCCATGCTGCGGTTACCATAGGTTCTGGCGCAACCCACTGGAAACTTTGTTTGGGCACAACACTTTTTTGTTTAGAGGTTCAATTCGGTAATTTACAGTACAAGTCATATCTTGAAAATGTTATGAGATGTTACAAGAACAAACGTTACACTTTAACCTAGGCTGACTGATAAATTTATTTAGATTAAAAAAGTTTTTACTTAGGAACATATTAAATTCATGAGTCTAGAACCCCCTGGGCCCACAACCTAAAACTAGCGTCTAGACTGCCAGTGCAACTCCGAGCCCGAGGATCGTGGATCAGATCAGTAGATCACCCCCCACCACCGCACCATGTCGTACGCTTCCGAATAATACCGGCGCGTCAGCATAACTTATCTAACTCTTCGCGGAAAATTGTTATCTGTATCACTGTCGCTGTCAAAACGTATAATTTGTAGATTGAATTTGAATTAAATATAATTAAACTATCATAACCTAACCAAACTAACCAAACTTGCTGATAATGATAAACTCGAATGAAGGTTTACTAATCAAAAAATAGCTCTGTTCTAAAAATAAAATTATAAATGTCTCAAATTCAATTTTACAATCTTTTAATTATAAAATTAAACTGTTATAACCTAACCAAACCAACCAAACTTGCTGATATGAAAAAAATTGTTGACAAAAAGTTAGTGCTCCCGGTGGGATTCGAACCCGGCACCTTCAGATTATCAGCCCGACACGCTATCCACTACACCACAAAGGCTCATGACTCAGTTCCGTATCGTTGCAGTTGGTTGACGTCACGCCATCGGCACTGAGCGGTGGTGGGGGTTTTTTCGATCTGATCCACGATCCTACGATCCTAGGAGTTGCACTGGCAGTCTAGATGCTTATCAACCTAAAGGGGAGAGCATTTTTAATCATGTTTGCTTATGTACAGGTCATGAGTGAAAGTCCAACATAGATAAGGTTGTTTTTTAAAAACTGTCACCGATAGCCGATATGTTTACATTAAAAGTTGTTTACAAATAGTGCAATTAATGGGAAATAAATTTGATTCCGGATAATTTTTTTTTTTCGAAAATCCAAAACCAAGGGAGATTAATAACCTCGGGACTTGTTTAACGCATTTTATTGGTTGGACGTACTATAGTTCTTAACTATAAACATTTTTTTTTTTGTACTGGCTCTTTTCCTTAAAAACGGTAGTAGCAGCAAAAATAATTTTTACTTACCAACACATCACTATATAAAAATTAGTTATAGTTGGTGTTGCACATTAATGTCCGATGATAGTTTTGTCAGCGTATCTGGAAATGTGCAAATCAACTGCTGTTCTGAATATAAGAAGCTTTCAACTGACTACAAGATTCCCCTGTGTACAACGTGCACACAGCTAGTGTTATTTAAATAGAATACCCCCGCTGCAGCAAACCTGCAAACTAAGCAAGATTTCCATTTGTCTGAATTGATTTTCAATTTAAATCTATTTAAATAACATTAGGTTCAATGAGTACCAAGGTTTGCTGCTACAAGGAAACTAATAAAGTGTGTGTTTTTTAGTAAAATATTAATGGCTTAGTATAAAATAAATAAAATTGACAAGTTTGATCCATAAACAAGCAAACCACAACATTGTACAATATTCTCGAGAAGAATAATATGGAAATTTTAATTTACAATTAATTTTATTTTCTCTGTTACCAATAACGGTACAAAAACAGTTTTGTGTAATAAATTATTTGATTTTTAAGGTCTTTAAAAAGGTCTAGAGAGAAATTGAGAAATTTTGTGTTTTGAGGGTCAAAATGAGAAAAACCATTTTACCCCATAAATCCCCGTTCCATGGTCCGATCATGCTGGTTTCCGAACTCATTCAAGTTTATCCTACACTTTCAAACCAAATATCATCAAAATCGGACAAAAATTACTCAAGTTATCGCGTTCACGGACGTATATATATTATATCTTGGCTATATACATATAGGTATCAAAATTTGAACAAATGGTGTTTTTGGCCTCTGTAGACATCAAAATGAAAAAGTAAATCGGTCCCGGGCCTAGGTTTTACCATAGATAATACATACTACCTCAGTAGATTTCTCATCCTAATGGAACAGCTGAAGACAATTTTATTGTTAGTTCTGTACGGTTTATGTAGAGGTCGTGTTTTGTTTACAATTTGTTTCCCGTTAATACAGTCATTTAAAACCTCGTTTAGCCAAATTATACGATCTAATCATAAACAATAAATTGTCCCCTAGTTATTTAACCAAACAGTAAAGCACAAATCAAGAAATTAACCCTAAAATAATAGAAACAAAATTTCGTCGACTCTAGCGCCTAGTGTGGCGTACATTAAGTAGACATCTAAAATGAGCTTCAAAATTTACAATGGGATGAGAAGTCTACTTGTGTTGGTTAGTCTATGGTTTTACCATGCCACCTACAGTAATAGCTACTTCCCTATGGGGAAATTCACTAAAATAAATTTTAAACTTTTCAGGGAATATTATAGTAGAAATCCTGCCAGGTAAATGGAAATTCGCTTAGTCTGGAGGTTTGCTGCGGCAAAGACATTTTAAATTTCACCATATTTGATAGTCCCCTGACATAATGTTGTCACCAAAAGCTTTGATCATTAATTAATACAACTTAAGTATTCAAAGGTTAATGCTTAAAGAGCTGAATCAACAACCACAACAAATAAGTAAAAAAAAAACAATAATTTTTATTTCATTTTGCTTTTGAAAAATGTATATCATTATTATAATTTTGATACATATTAATTGATCTATGATTCACCAATATAATCTGTGTCATAATTCCACTATACTCTGGGACATGTACAACAATGTATTAATAGTTAAATCCATATGGTTTCATAAAAGAAATATTTGTTTTTAAATGTTCCCTCAAACATTGTATAATTTACACACATAACACTCAAGATTTTTTCGTGATTCAAAATTGTTGTATATATATATAAATAGAATTAACGTGAGTATTACATTTACATGTAGTAAAACTATAAATTTGTGTTGTGAAATTATGTTTATGCAAGTATTATACCTACCTAATACATTTAGTGTTCTATCACATAATCTTAGCGTTGCCAAACTATAAGAGGCTTTTTAATAAATGTCATCCTTTCATTGCCTAAAGGGTAAATAACATTAAAAAAAAAATAGGTTGTATATTACCTATATAACTTAATTACTTCATATTTGAAAAACAGTAGTCTAGATATTGCCTGGTTTGTATGACTCAAGAAAGATCCACTTTATTTCATCAATTACCACCCAAAATTGACCAACTTTAATTTTAGTTTTGTCCTCTTCTACTAACTATATACAGGTGGATTTTCCATGACTCGGGCACTAGACATTACAACTAAGGGAAGGGTCTCTGTATTTTCCCCACCACTGAATAATTCAAATGTTTTTGTTTCTGTTGATGTACGTACATGTCCCTCTAAATGCAAAGAATTTCCTAGTCCCTGTAATATTAAGATCCATTACATTGGTAGGCATGCTAAATGGTATATTTTTGCCAGATAGTGCAATGAGACACAGAACTACAATAGCCAGTCTTAGTCTACATGAGGACCTAATTGTCACCTAATTTCTATCTCTAATTTTATGTGATTTGTGTGGGATGCAGCACTTTTGTAAGAGGTTTATTCAGTAGGCCTACCTACTACCGATATAAATATATTCTCTCTGCTCAGAAGTAAAATTATGTTTATGAAAATTATGAGAACTGATTTCACTACTTTGTTACAGCACTCACTATGGCATCACCAGTTAACAATGGGCCTTCAGTAAGTCACAATTGGAATTATTTTGCCACAATAAAATTTAAACCTCATATGATGATGATAAAGAGTGGAGAGCATACTAGTAGAATAAACGGTTATATTTTGGTAGTTTTTTAATTGCAAATGATAAGTTGTAAATGATAAGTAAGTGTGTTTATGTTTATAATTTTGGTAAAATATTTTTCTGATGGAATAGATTACTTATTTATATGGCCAAACAACTCAATAACATGAGGGTTTTCCTTTTCTAAATTAAATTTATTTTTGATGTCTATAGTGATATCCTGAATAGATCTTTAGTTTTAACTTATCTCAATGCCGTAGATAATTCTATGGATTTTGAACATAATTTTTACCCTACATTTTCCAAATAGTAGCCTATTTAAATTAAAAAAACAAAAATACTAATACATTTTTGTTCCAGGACCAAAGAGACAGTGCTAATCTAAATGGACCGTCAAACTTGCAACAACTCCAGACTCCTTCAGGATTGCCGAGGTGTAATCTACCTCCTTTTGAATGTCCTGGGTCATTACCTGGCAACAACTGCCTACCTCAAGAAATGATGTGTACACCCTGTCCACAATTTCAATCTTCCCCGCAGTGCGGATCAACAATAGGATGTCAACCTTATCAAGCTATGTGTCCTTCGGGTCCACCTCAAATAATGTGCCCTCCATGTCCTCCATCAGTGGTTTGTCCACCCCCCCAAGGGTCAATAATCTGTCCACCAACACGGCCCATAATCTTCCCACCTCCTAACAGAACAGTTATTTGCTTCCCGGGCCCTCAAGTTGGTCCCCAACCCCCTTGTCCACTTTTTCCCAAAGATCCCTGTCCTCCTTGTCCCAAACCTCCTGGCATCACTGACCCCATCCTTCCCCCCGTTCCTCCTGGTACTGTTGATCCTACTGTCCCTCCTACATATCCTCCTGGTACTGTTGATCCTACTGTCCCTCCTACATATCCTCCTGGTACTGTTGATCCTACTGTCCCTCCTACATATCCTCCTGGTACTATTACGTATCCTCCTGGCAAAGATCCTACTGTCCCTCCTGTTACTAAAGATCCTAAAGAACCCAATAAAACAGTCACAATAGTCTGTCCACCAAAGGTAATCACAATTATAATAGTACTAGTTCTGAAAATAGGTGTTTACCATACAAGTACGGTAAACACATTTTGGACAAGTGATGTATGATATTTTACGCCATACAAAAACTTAACAATAAAAAATCCTCAGGATTTACTCACCAATTAAAGGACTAACTATCACTACTCAAAACCTCTAAGAGAAGTTATGTTTTTAACTTCATACAGTAGTACATAATGAAACCCCAATTAATTAAGCTGGAGGCAAACAGCTGTTTTCAGAACTAAATCTTTGCATGGGAAGTTTGTTAAAACATTGTAGTGTAGTGTAGAAAGCATTTACAGCTATGGTATGGATATACATTCCCGCTTGTACTGTGCTTATATGCAAGAGTATAATATTATGTATATATTATATACATAACAGTTTGTCTTGTAATCTAAAGTAGGTTTGAAGCACCATTTGATAGTTCAAAATCTGGCCCTTCTGCTCTTGATTTTTGAGTAAATACTGAATAATGAATATCAGATGATCTTAAATAGTACAACTACTCTACAATATAAAGCTCTCATACTATTGTAGTTCATGCTAAAAACTCGGGACCCTCATCTCATGGAAGAAACACCATCCCAGATTTCATATTAATATCATGTTTAATCTACATCATATATTGATGGTAATTTTGTTTTCTGTTTCAGGTGCCTTTACACCCAAAAAACACGGTAAGAATTGTTGTTGTTATTTTTAAATTGTAACAGTTGTAGGATGAAGCACAGATGGACTAGTGTTTAGAAAACAGGTATTCTATCTTAATGGCTTCAGTTTGAATCATACAAATAACAAATTTCTTTGTTGTGAAATAAAAATATGAATTGTATCAAGGTTTGGTTTATAGTTGCTATGTGCACTGAGTAACAGGTATGTGATCCGGTGGTGTGAAGCCCAGGTTTACAAATCAAGAACATTAAAAAAAATAAAAATGTAGGTTTTCGGACAAAGAGAACATATTCCTTGTTCAATAATTTCTACACTATTGCCAATCCTCGTCCTTCCTGAGTATATTTTAGCATAGACAATAGAGTAAATATAGACTGTCAAAGAAAGGTTTTGCGATCTGCCGCTAGAGCGTTATCGCCATTCGATATCGGTTATCGGTATTCTATTCGGTTTCATCGTCGACTACTCGCCAGCTGTTACCAGCACTACCACTCTTGCAAACGAAATGCTTACTATATAGCTATTATCGTCTTCTACAATCGCGTCAAAATCATGAACATCCTCTGCGGCTGTGTAGACATCATCATTGAATGCCGTGGTCCCGAAACGTCATCGTCGTCCACGATTGCCGCAAAATCGTGAACATCTTCAGCGGCCGTGTAGACATCATCGTATCGTCTTCGTCTTGCGCGATCGTAGAAAAGACGTGATCATTTTTCCCGCGGTCACGAAAACGTCGTCTAGCACGGTCGCGGTTTAAGAACATCTCCCGCAGTCGTGTAGACATCATCATCGTCTTGCGCCGTCACGGAAACGTGATCGTTGTCTAGCGCGATCGCGGTAAAATCATTAAATTTCCCGACTTTGATATCAAAATAAAGACAACTTTTTAACCCAACTTTAGATCCCAACGTTGTAAGACCATTTTGAAAATCAATACTAATACCTGACTTTCCCGTTTTCCCCGACTACTAGACACCCTGGTTAATTAGATTTTGACCTTGCAAATATGAAACAAAAACTTCCAATAAACCACTTGCTAAAATTATGGATTAGTAAAGAAAAACTTTGAATCATTGTAATGAAACTACAAAAGTATAACAAATATATGTTTTAAAAAAAATACAATAAATAATGGCATTTAAATAAATTTATTGCTTATTATTAAATAAGTCAGTAAACTCCAATTCCGGGGAATTCCTCCAAAGTTGGCAACACTACTCCCAACTACGAAGTTGTTATGGAAACGGTCGCTAGCGCTTGATGCTGCAGCGGTGTGCGCCGTAACTACACATTACCCCTAGCGGTCGGCGCCGGAATATATGCTAACCGCAGCACAGCTGACAGTCTATATTTATTTCTTTTTGTCTATGATTTTAGACACAGCTCAACTTCTGGCCAAAATATAAATAAACGGTATCAGCATTCTGACACATACTTTCTCCCATAAGTTTGTCAACAACCTTTATCATGTGTAAGTGGTTAGAGTAAATATACAGAAATGAGATTTGTACAATTTTGTTCAGAATTTAAAGGACTAGTAACATACAAAATTTTTATCAAAATGGTTAAGGCCATTTTTGGGGAAATCCAATTTTTCCATTATTTTATGGGGTTTTTATGGGAAAATAACATAATTTACAATAACTTTTGAACCGTAATTTTTACAGAAATGGGATTCATACCATTTTGTTCAGAATATAAAGGACTATAACATACTAAATTTTTATCAAAATCGTTTGGGCCATTTTTGGGAAAATCTGATTTTTCTGTTATTTTATGGGGTAATATGGGGAAATCCCCATTAAAAATCCAAATTTCTAAAAAATGAAAAACTATCAAAATTGTAAGGACTATTACATACTATGTTAAATCAAAACCGGATTTTTTTCTAAAATCCTATTTTTTGTTATTTTATGGGGTTTTTATGGGAAAATAACATAATTTACAATAACTTTTGAACCGTAATTTTTACAGAAATGGAATTTGTACCATTTTGTTCTGAATATAAAGGACTATAACGTACTACATTTTTATCAAAATCGTTATGCCATTTTTGAGAAAATCAGATTTTTCCGGTTTTTTATGGGGTTTTATGGGAAATTCCCCATTAAAAATCAAAATAAAAAAATATAAAAAAAAACAACTGGCTATACAATGGATTAAAACCTACATACCAAATTTCATTGAAATCGGACCACAGGTGTAGTCCCTAGCTCTGTACACTTCCAGACACACAGACATCACTTCGAAAACCACTTTTTTGGGTCAAATTATGACAAAAACAATACTTTCTCCATATCCTATGGTATAGGGGGGGGGGGAAGTAAAAAAAGGTGAACACTGTCACACTCTTATTTTTAACTCTGGGCACAGTAGTGTTTCAATCTAAAACTGATTTTATTTCAAATCATTAATTGTTTGTTCATGTTTGCAGAATATAGTAAGACCTGTTCTAGTCAACATCCAACGCCTGTTGAATTTTGGGATTCAAGTTATGTTGAAAAACAGACATGACCAATATACTAAAATAATAATATCCATTGTGAGTATATAAAAAAAATCCACTCAAAGCGTGAAACCTAATGGTGAAAGTTAGATCAAATACTCTTTATTTTGTTCAAAATTGGCTTATGTTTATTATATTTTGGATCAAGTTCATTTTTATTTTACTGAAAATTGTTGTTGGGCAGTATGCAAATGAGACTGTTCTTATAAATAAAACATACCCTAACACAGCTTTAACACTGTTTTGTTGGCAAAACACAAGTATTACTGACTGATAATTTGTATTTATAAAACTCAACATATAGTACTAAAAAAACTTCAATGTTTTAAGATGACCATAATATTCTAATCTATAGGTATGTTATTTTCCTCATATTTTGATACATTTTCAGGAAAAAATAAAAAAGAACCCAGACCAAGGGACAGTTGTGCCTGCCCGTGAGTTGGTTGAGACATATTCCCGACTGATCCCGGGACTGAAACTGTTGTGGGAACAGCTGCGAGACTACTACCGCAACTTATTACGAGACTGTAACGTAAGTATTACCAGAATAGTCTGTTACAACATGTCCATTTCTAGTTTTATCTATATTTTTTCAAGCTTTATTTCAGCCTTAAATGAAAATGTTGAGGTGCATAAATATTTTGTTTCCTAACTTTTCATCCTCACCTAATATATATGTAATTTCTGTAGTTATTGACTGTACAATCTTTTGAACCCAAACACCCAATTTAGTTTGTGGAGTTACTTTATGACAGCTATATAAAGTATTAGATTGAAATGTATAGTTTGTTAATTAATTTTCAGGACGTAAAGAACCCTATTCCAAGCCTGGCTGGTCTCAACATTTCACCTATGGTATCTCAGGTAATCAACACAACAAATCATTAAAAAACTATGATTAGTTTTGTAGGAGTTACACTACACAGTTCCACAGTTCAATAATATCACAATGCAATAAAGTCACATAAAAGGATGAAAACTATAAAACCATCCATTTTTAAAATTCAAGTAAGACAACAAATGATTTTATTAACCTACCTAGCAGTCCTCCTAGATTTCCGTAATCTTTCTTTTCTAGCAAAAATAGACTGCTATCAGGAACCCAATTTTTTGAACAGGTAGAAATTGTAAAATTTCTAACAAGAATACCAAGATTTAAATGAGAGTATATGCCACTTAATAAGAAGAACTGGTACTTTGGTATTATCCGGAGGCCACTTATTTTAGAGGTGTTTTTTTACCGGAGACCAAAATAACTACATATTTGGAAAGAACATACTTCAATTGACTTACTGTCCGAATTTGACATGATTACTATTAGTAGCGGCCTTTAAGTTCTGCCTCCCAGAAGGCAGCGATGTCTGCGAGGATTGAGTTGAATGTGTCACCGCTGCTAGCTGCCACATGTACTCCGCCAAGTTGGTATACAGCGCGGCGGTTATGTTAGGTTGGGTTATCATTAATTATAAATATGTTTGTAGGACTTTTCTCATTTCGTTATGAATCTAACGATACCAAATGTGTAAGGATACCACAGATACATGCGGTGATAGGTGATGCTTGCACTCCGTTCAACAACCTGATCTTGGCCTACATGGAGGGGATTTGGCGGGTGAAAGTATGACTTAACTTATCTAGTATCCTTTGATTCATAACGAAACGAGGAATGGTCTAAAAACATATTTATGATAAGCTAACCTAACATAACCACCGCAGCGCACTGTATAAGAGGGTGGCCTCCGGATAATACCAAAGTACCCAAGAACTTAATATGTAAATTTCATAATATTGGTTCTCTCTATACAGTCCTCCATATCAACACTCTTATTATTATTTTACAGGCTACAAAGCCACCTATTTTGTTCTATTAAAAAAATTAATGAAAAATATAAACTAAGAAATTAAATTGAAGATTTTTTTCAGTCAGCTTTCAGAGATCTACTCGCAGCTACACTTGTTTTGTGTCGGGAGGCGTTGTATTTGTGCAGCGTTGATACCAACACAACTAGTCAGTTCATTGTCTTCACTGACAGCCAACTGATGGTAATTTACCTATAATTTATGTGCAAGACTACTTACAAAATAATATGTTTTTAAGACCAATTAATTTTAGCTCAACATTTTGAAGAAATTAACAAAACTCAATTAAAAAAGAAAGACAACATGAATTGATAACCTGTCCATGTATTTGGAGATATCCCAACACAAAACGCCTAATGATAATTTAGGTTAAAAATTGACTGTAATTTTAAATGTTGGAAACACATAAATACCTGCAACCTTTGGTATTGGTATTGGTGTGCCCAAATTAAAACTTACTTTAAATGGACATAACCACAGAAACTACTGAGAATCCGTAAAAAACACTTAATACAGATGTGTAATTTAGAATGAAGTTTTTGGAATTAGATGGCATTGCAAATAATTTTTACTATGATCCTTTAAAGTACAGTAAAGTCATATCAACTTTGGTTATTGACATTGGATACTGAAGTAGACAACCGTATAAACCTGATGTAAGATTGTTCTTAAATAAAATTTGTATTTGACTCTTCTAGTTTTCCCATACTATGGTAGTTGATAGCGACTAAAAAGATGGTGTAGTAGATGATAAGCTGCTCTTTCAATTTAGTATGGTTGAAATTTTGGTACAAAAGAAAGGAAACAGTGGTTTTCAGCAGCAAACGTTGTCAAAAGACACAAATAATTTTTTCCTAATTGTGAGATTGGAATATCTACCAGAAAACAATTAATAGATGGTGTAAGAGGCATTGTTCACGTTATTTAAGTATTAATATTTCCATTAATCTTTGGTTGTTTTTTGTAGAATAATCCAAGAGCAATAATAGAATACTGCAAAGTTGAGATTTTTGAGAGTAACTTTTCTAAAGGTGATGACCTCCTCCGGTTGTTCACCGAGAAGCAACTTCTCATCAACTTGTTTTTGAAGGAGTGGGCGGTGAGTATTGGTAGCGAGCAGTATGTATTGGTTGCGAGCAATTACAAGTGTTGGTAATTATTACAGCTGAGTTGAATTGACATTAATTTGTACCATAAAGTTCACTGTACAAAACTAGTGGGTCATTTTTAATTTCATACCCAGAATCATGTGATAGTTGTTGTATTAAATATTGCAGCAAATCAAAACTGTTGCCTACTGGTACATGTATTCTAACTTTGTAAGTATGACAAAAAAAGTTCTTCACAAGTTAATTATACCAAATATTAGCAAACATCGCCGAAGCACAATACTTTTTCCTTTAAGTCACATGTTCAAAACACCTTTGACTGTAGTATTATAGATTATTGAAATTATAGAGTATTGTCTGTCTTAATGTATCTAAGGTGTGAATGTGAAGAGTTAATTCTATATTGTGTTTGTGTATTTTTGAAATTGTATTCTTATAACTGAAATACATTTAAAATATATTTTAATCTATTTTTTTATATATATTTTAAATATTTTAATATTTCAATTAAAAATAGAAAGGGGTACATTTTCTGAAACAACACATTTCAAATTAAATAAACATTCTTTGTTTGGTTAGCCCCACATACTATGATGAATATCTTAATTGTTTCTGACATTTATTTTACAGAAAGGTGGCCAAGAGTTGGATCAACCTCCAGCCCCTTCAATCTATACAACACTGCCTGTGTCGGTAGGTTTAACTTGTTATTTTTTATAGGAGTGTTTGAGGTGACAACTAACAATCAATCAAATACAAGAACTTTTATTCAGTGTTTTCATTTGAGCAAATCATTTTTGTTTCTGTGTTTGCGGGGTTTTTACTCAGTTTATGAATATTGTAATTGTCTAAAGAATCAACTATAAACTACAGAATTAGAAATACGATATTGTTTACATGACGTTGCCTTAATGGTTTATTTTTTATATTTGATTTAAAGAGTCAAGTATAGGTATATTCAATTCATGTGTAAATTTTTTTTATTTATATTTCTTCTTCTTTATCAGTATCTACTTCTCTTCAACATAGCAATCAAAATAATTACAGTAACAATTATTTGAACTGAAGATTTGTGAATGTTTTACACATTATGAATGAAAACTAACTAATAATTTTTATTTTGTTTAAGTTCCCTGGCCTTACAGCTGATGTCCCACAAAAAGGATATACTAAAATGGTAAGTTTATCCAAAATATATTTACCGGTATTACCAAAAGATATTGTAAAATGGTAACTTTATGGTAAGTTGGTGCATTTGGTTTGCTTGGCATTATGAACAACATGAAAACTAAATGTTCTCAAACGAGAATAATTTACTAGAACCTTAAACAGCTAGGGAGCTGACATTGATCGACATATTAGATTATTGTCAATACGATTTTTTCATAGCAGGATGGGTTGTCTTAATTTATATATTTCTTAAATCGGTGTAATTTTGATCTGAGTTTTGTTGATTTTCCTTGATTGAGTTTACAAAATTTGTGGTTAGAGATCTTTGTTGTATGGTGCCTATGTTTATGGTGCTTAACAACATTCATTCTGAACAAATCCTAGATCATCACTTTTTACAAAGTGGTTACAGCATTTTTTGCTACTAAGGTTTGGATTTGGCTATAATGCATATCATTGATTTTAAATTAATCTATTTCCTTTGAGTAAATTATTTAATTGGCTTTAAATATCAATTTATTAAATACCATTAGTAATATCAGTTTGTTATAAACAGGGAGGCGGAAATGTAGAGGATATTGTATCAAGATTCAATGAAATAGAAGATGGAGCCTACAGGGATGTGAATAAGTATAGGGGACAACGAGAGGATTTAAACAGAAGCTTGGTAAGACACAGATACATCCGTGGTGATATATTTATTGGTACTTGACCAGCCCGCGGTTTGTATGTGACACGGTATGGGCCCGAGGCTTGCACCATCTTTCCTCGTTCCTTGCAAGGAGATTTTTCTCTTTCATCCGCCCCCAACGCCCCCCCAACAATCCTAAACTCTTGCATTTACATTACTGTCTGTTTGATGGAACCTGTCACATGATCTATAAAACAAATTTGTAATAGTGTCACATACAGTAAAAATTATTGAAAACTAAAACGAAATGTCTGATTTGAGGTATCACTTGCAAACATTCCACCAATCCTGCTCGCTTACATCTGAATATGCAGTACGTCCCAATAAACTCTTGTCACAGACAAAGACAGAGTTAATACTGGATTAGGGTACTTGGTGGCCCCAGGCCAAATTAACAAAAGCAGCCCGCCCCTTAGATGGAGTTTCTGCACTCATTTTAACAAGTGTTGCCACACTCATTTTTTTGCTGCACTCCACTGTTCCATATAGTTTGCTTTTATTAGGCACTAAAAAAACAGAATTTGTAGATTGAATTTATACAATAATAAATAAGTGTATGGTTTAAAAAAAGTTGGCAACGCCAAGATCCCGTTTTGTTCAACGCTTGGACTTAACCTAACCTAAAAATGTGCTGTATAGTGTTGAAAGACTAATAATTATTTATATGCTTTGTAGTAATTAGGAACAATGTGTAACTTGAGTGCAAAGGGTCTTTGCTGCACTCGATAAACTCTCCACACTCACCTGCGGCTTGCCGTAACATTTCTATCATGTGCAGCAAAGTGCCACTTTGGACACTAGTTACACAAATAACTATTTTACAAATTGCTGGGCCCTCCTCTCGCTTGCAGCCATAGACCGGCCTAGTCGGCCTTGGTAAATCCAGTACTGGACAGAGTTTAATTCCTTGCCCTATATTGTTGTCTCGTTTGGCCAAGAAATCCTTAGTCTGCCCAGCCAATGATCAGAACTAATTCTACACAAAATAGTGTTAAACACAACGAGACAACACAACACGCCTTAGAGTGCATCAAATGCCAGGCTAAGTGTTCAAATATTTTTTTTGGTAAGTTACGCTTGCATGAATAATTAAATAGCATGAAGACCTTGCTATGTTATTTGTGATAATTGAATAATTGTTCTTTGGGAATTGAATGGTTAATTAATTTGTTTCTGCTTGTTAATTAGTCAGATATTGTACATTTTTATTTATAAAAATAGTTGTATCAATTAAGGTACAACCACACAAAATCAATAGTTTCTTACTCAGACTAGAAGGAGATGATGTATTTATGTTTTTATCTGATGTTGTTAAAGACTGTTTACTTTATTTATTTTATGTATGATATTGTTTCAGTCGGCAGTGCAAAGACAATAATCCTGCTTCTATCCAGAAAAAAGAATTGAAAATGCTATGAGAGTTTAAAGAGAAAATACATTGATTTTATGTTACGAGTTGTATTTATATTGTTGAGCTAAGTAGTTTATAAGATCCGATGATGCTAATCAACTTTCTTTATAACGGATTTAAATGAATGTGTGAATTTGATTGCAAACAAGAGATGGAACAGTAGTTCATGGAAATGGACTTTAATAGTCCACTTTTATTTATGACTGTAACCTGATTGAGGTAGGTAAATCCATCTTTATAGTGTAGATCAACAATCCACAAATTTCAAATTAGTAGTTTTACCAATGAACACAAACCCTTTCGGGTGAATACAGAATGAAGTCTTTTTTCTGAGGCAAAATTCCAGTCTGACTATTCTCCATAAGCATTTCGCTTCCATTGATTTTACCATGGATAAAACATACTCCCTTAGTAGTTATTGTAACAGTTTGACTAAATTGACCAACTGCCAACAAGTTTGCTCCAGACTAGCTCAATGGGCGGGGTGCGATGTGTCTTAGGCCAGTGAGGTGTTTACACTACGATGGATAGTATTTATTAAAAAGGGCGCCACCTTGTGATATGGGCAAGTTGTCTGTCGATTGTCACAAGGAACCAATCTCCCAGTAGTGTTGCCTATATTTGTGGTAAGCAGGGTAAACCTAACACCTGTGATGTCAATTGACCATACTCTACATTGACTTGAGTTGCCCTAACCATTTATCTTACCGATAAATACCTAAATTTAATTGTCACCAAAATCACTCAAAATACTTAAGAACTAGAGTAGCTATAAAGATTTTCTATACTAATTCGGCCCAAATAGAAACTAGCTGGAATGTCAAATAAAAATCCAAATATGTATGATAAGCTCTATTTATCTCAAGATAAGCATGCCCTGATAACAAATCAAGTTGAAATTCTACAGCTAAATGAGCAAATAATGTAATTGAACTCTATTATCAGTCTCAAAGTGAATAGGATAGCAGTACTTCAGAATTAAAGCTTACTAATTAATAATCAGTACTAAATAATCCAAAATAATCTATATTCAATATTCAAAATCAATAAACAAGTTTAGTAATCAATAGTCAAGAACCATTAATCAATATTCAAAGATAATCAAAATCAATAATCTACAAACAATAATCAATAATCGGCACTCAATAATCGATAATAATCAATTTACCATAATCATAAAAATTCAATACTCAGAATCAATATTCAGCAATAATCAATACGTAACCCTTAATCAATAACCAATAATAATCACTCAAACAGGATCCCTCTTAAATCTATAAAATGGTACATAATGACGGTGGCCACCGGAACACCTATAACAGACAACATACAAGGCACAAAATATTACAATATACAAATATACAAATAAATCCGTAGGTCCTGGACGTCCCACGACGATTCACTAGCCACTGTCCAAGTGTCCGTTGCACAGGAGATAAATAATCGTAAAGTCACTCACCAAATGTAGACTTCATACACAGTGTCCAAAAGACAAAAGATATCCGGCCAGACCGGGTGTCTGAGGCAAACGTATCGTCCAACAGTTGAGCGAGCGGTAGGCCGTGAGCGGCAGGTCGGTACGTGAGCGGCAGGTCGGCACGTGAGCGGCTGACACCAAGGTGGCGTCCAGAGATGTCCAAACAGTAGCCTCTCGTAGTAGTGACAAGTCCGGTAACAGTGGGTCGGTATAAAAAACCCTGTGTGTACACAGTAAATTAATAGTACGTGCCTTAATAACACTATTTTATCTGAGGAAAATTCCTAACACAAAAATTTATGTACAGTGACAACTTTAGTTAACTGTGACAAATAATCATATTTCTAGCAAATGCTTGGAACAAATTGGCAAAATTATCTTTTAAAATCTCAAAGATAAACACATTACTTAAACTGCATATATTTACATTTTTTTTTAAACAGAATAGGCTACATAAACTCAATATGAACAGATTTTTAACTATACAAACATTTGGCAATAAAATAATGGCTACTGAAATACGAGTGTTTTTATGAACATTAAAATTGCAAAATAATTAGATACTAAATGAATGATTTTGTTTTCAAATACAGCTATGTTAAAACGATTTTACCTGCAAATAACAATTTATAAGCACACAAATACAGTACAACATTTAAACCTTTAAAACATATTTGAAACATTTAAATTCAGAAATTACTAGTTTAGGATTACAAACATTTATTTTTACAACGTCTAGTACTTCCAGAAACGTAACAAATTTTCCATAAAACCAGTCAAGCTACTTTTCAATCTAACTAGGTCAAATCTAGGGTTCTGAACTTCAAGTTTAACCTCCTAAAGCAAAGAATTATTTAATGGTTCTGGCATTTTACTGAATATAACACATAATTGATTGGTACCTGGTCAAAAACATTATTAAAATCCATGTTTTTTAGCCCCTGAGCTGATCTTGTGACTAAATCAATAAATAAGGTTACCTTTGTCAATCAGCTCATAGAAGTTGAAACATTGTTACGGCCGTTTCAGCATATCCATGCCATCATCAGACGTTCATGTCAGCTACTTGCTCTTGTGCGGATATGTCTAATCAACAGGCCTGTTTAGTCAAAAACCTGCTTAGTCCTGTAATCCAGCTACTAGGAGGTCACGAATTGTGGATATTTATAGGGATGCACTGTGGATGCGATGCTCCCTGGTGTGGATTTACGTCCGCACTAGTGAGTACTACGACTATCCGCAGTACTATCCTGATAATTAGACCAATTCGTAAATTACAAGGAAAAATGTGGTTCGGATTCCACTATAAACTGTAGGTCCCTTAGTTGCCATTAGCTGTATGGGCTATTAATTAACAGCTGTGTCTAAGGAACATGTCGGCCTTAGTCACTAACAAGACTACAAGATCGCGCCACTCATCCTACACTCATCCTTCACTCATATTTGGGTTAAAATACGCACATAGTGGCGTCCCCATCTTAAATAATTGATAATTGATTGATAATTGAACCCCCGTTTACGTTTATGTATGTGTACGTCGCATGTGACAGTTTGTGTTTTTGTATATTAACGACGCCACTTAGGCTGAACGTCTGATGATGGCATGGATATGCTGAAACGGCCGTAACAATGTTTCAACTTCTATGAGCTGATTGACGAAGGTAACCTTATTTATTGATTTAGCAAAAACATTAGCCTAATTATGTTTACCTAAACGTTTGGTGAATTTTTATAACTAACAAAAAATTTTTTAACTTTGGCTTTAAGAACAAATACTCAACACAATATTCATGAAACCAGTTTGCATAGACATGAAATGAATATTTTACACCTTAAATGAATATTTTACATTAGAAGATCCATGACATTAAACTCAAATTTAGGCTACACAGAACAACAAAATTTACAGTTAAACAATATTCTACAATAACATTTATAAATAAGTTACGGAATTTATTACATTTTTTCTACAAAATTTGATCCCTAACATGTTAAAACGTACGGCCAATCGACATTGATTTATTAAAATCCTAAGTAGTTAATTTGAAGGCTTGATTTATTGAAATTGACTTTTGTCCAACAAAACAGCTAATTAATTTTTCTCCCTGCTTACCTCAGAATATTCCAAAATGGGAATCCAAGAAAATCCTCCGGCGTCGGTGCTCTGAGGGTCCTTGACGATATTGGCTCTGCTCTCACTAGGGATTTGGGTTCAAAACAAGAAACTAACGTTACAATATCCCATCCTTATGGAACAGCTGAAGCCAATTTTATCATTAGTTCTGTCCAGTGCACTCATCTACAATGCACCAGACTGGGTTTTCTTTACAATTTGTTTCCTTATTTCAGTCATTTAAAACCCTGTTAAACCAAATAAAATTATATATTCATAAACAATGACTCATCCTTTAGTTATATAACCAAACAGTAAAGCACAAACCATGAAACTTACTCTAAAATAATATAATTTAATACCGTCGACACTAGTTACCAATGTCGCCGGACATGAACTAGAGACGTAAAATTAGCTTCACAATTTACAATGGGATGGGAAGTCTACTTGTGTTGGTTGTTCTATGGTTTCACTCACGTAACAACAGCTGCCTGACACAAACATACCCTCTGAAATTTAAAAGGCTATTTATTTTTAGCGAATTTCCCATAAGGGAATAAGCTATTATTACCGTAGTACTCATGGTAAGACCTGGACCAGGGACCGATTTTCTTTTTTGTTTTTAAGGTTCCCTAGAGGCCAAAAACACCATCCGTTCAAATTCATACATTTACATATATAGTATATGTGTGTGTCTATTAGCACAATAACTCAAGCAAAAATGATCCGATTGTGATTAAATTTGGTATAAACGTGTAAACCTACATTTATTCAAACGAGTAAGTAAAATTAGATATTTCTTTGAATACATTGGATATATCAGGTTACGTATATAATATACGATTAATGGTTAATATATAATCCATACAATAATAAAATGAAGGGCTCACCCTTCTTACACAAAATCATTGCAAGTCCATTTTTTTTGTCAAATACTCATCAATTGAATAAAATGTGTTTGCAAGTAAGAACATGATTACAACAGTTTTAAATTTAATAATGCTCATGTCCCTATAATTACAAGGGATAGCTTATTAAATAATCTTATGGCTAGTACAGTTGGCTTTTTCATTGATTTACTTAGTCAATGTCTTATTCTAGTGTTATATGAGTGCACATCATTATTATGCATCAAATCTGGTTGATCTTTAATGAATAGGAATTTTTGCAGAATAAAGGAAGAGTTAAAAATTTCAAATGAACAAACAATGGTTTTTAGTGAGTTTTATAATGATTCGGACAGCATGTTTTTGTAGGATATAAAAATCTTATGATGCAGAGGCACTGCCCCAGACAATCAAACCATGTAATCTTAGCATGACATAATCCAAAGTAGGCTGTTCTAACTACATTTTGCGAGACGGCACCACAGAGTCATCTTAGAGCAAAAATGTCACAAGCCAATTTCATGCATAGTTCCGATGAGTGATCCAACCAAGAAAGATTACGATCCAGCCGGACACCAAGGAACTTAGCCGAAATGCCCCCGTCCTCCCTGGTAAGATCCTTCAGGCCAAAAATCATAGTGGTGGTTTTTTTCTCTATTCAAAATTAAGTTTCTGGCATCCAACCAGCCACTAACCTTGTTTAAATTTTCCTGGATGTCAAACTTCAGGCAATTCTTTGATTTTGTTTCAATGTGGTGTCGTCTGCGTACATGAAAATTCCAGATGACACATTAACTTCTAGATCATTAATTAACACTAAAAAAAGCAGGGCCCCCAGTTTCCCTGCCCTATATGGAGAAAGTATAGTTTTTGCAAAAATTTTGAGTTTTGGGTGGATATCGGTTTTGGGTCCTCCTGAACCCAATAAAGTAGTTTTCGAAGTGATGTCTGTATGTATGTTTCTGTCTGTATATTCATATTGTATGGATGTGTAAAGAGCTACAATATAGGCCACACCTAGCTGTAATCGGACTTAGATAAAATTTTGTATATGAGTTGCATGGTAACTACAGACGATTTGCTTGATTATTAATGGTGATTTTCCTCTAAAAACCCATAAAATGACAGGAATTCATATTTAAAAAAACTGCCTTTTTACTAAAGTTTATTATGTTACAGTCTTTTTAACAATTTTTATGAAACTTGTTAAGATATGTATCGGTAGAAGAGAACCATGTTATATGAAAATTAAATTTGACCAATTTTAAATCTTAAAATGGGGAAAATTATTTTTAAAAATTGTGTTACTAAAAATGGCTGATATTGTGAAAAAATGTCAATAAAATTTTTATTTGGCATTTAAAACTACCCATAAAATGACACAAAGTTAAAAAATATTGAGTTAAAAGTAGTTGAGATATTTCAATGTTTATGTTATAAAATTAAGTAGAATATTGCACATAATTTTACAATTAAAAATCTTCATATTTCGGCAATTTTTATTTCATCTTTTTGAGCTTGGTGTCGTTTGATAGGACATTTTAAATGCTAAATAAAAGTGTTCTTGAGATTATTTTATAATATCAGCCATTTTTTGTAATTTAATTTAAGAACATTGAAATCCCCTCCATTTTCATATTTTGAATTGGACCAAGTTTTTTTTCTAGCGTTCTTCTCTTCTACTTTAACATACATGCCGAGTTTCATAACAATTGGTAAAAAATACAAAATTGTGGATATATCCGGTTAACAAAGTGATTTCAAAAAAAGGTTCATACTTGATTTTCTCTTTATTTCGACCAAGGCCCACTTGAAAAACAGGCCATACTGCAGGACGGGCTGCGCAACACTACGTCACAGTGGTGGATAGTTGTACTAAACTCTAACCATTAAAATCTTACAAACAACCAGCTTGTTTATTTACCTACAACATATGGGAATGACAACGGCAGTGAATTTATCAATGGAATCCATCCACTAGTGTGACGTCATGGATCCTGCAGCATGGCCTGTTTTTTAAGTGGGGCCTTGTTTCGACCCATAAAACCATTTCCTGGAGTTTGAAAGTCCTAGTTGAAGCTGTAACTTATATATACTAATTATATGCATATTGCATTTTAAAGAGTTACCATAATTTGAATTTCACTGCGAGAAAGAGAGACATTGGTGGGGACTCAAACTTCAATGATAGAGACCCTGCCAGTTAAAACTTTTGATTGGCTAATGCCGTTTTTTTGCGGTGTGATCACTGATGCTCCCCTACTGGAATTTCTGTCCGCTCTGGGGTTAATGAAAGGTAGAGTAAGTGGCGAGTAAATTTTGCAGCTATATGTGTAGTAGGCATGCAATGAATGAATGAAGCCTTTTGTATTAATTGGTAATGCTGAATCATGGATGCACTACAAACATGTTGTATTGCCGTTTTTTTTAATATTCATTGCATTTAAGGTAGGTATCACATGTAATACTGTAGAGTTGTAAAAAATTTCACATTGTAATTATAATGTTTGTTCAATGTTCAGTCAAGTCTCTTAAGGAGGTCATGTTAAGATTCCAGGTTTGCTGTGCTAGGGATACTTAATCATTTGGCTTTTACTGTATTTAACTATACAATCTGTAAAAATGACAACAATATGTTTAATAACTCAAAAAACAAATGTCATATGTTTATTATTTTTCTTCAAGATAAACATTTATATTCAGAAAGTGCAAGACTATATAATCATGGTTCAAAATTTTAAGTTCTAGTGCAAGTAAGTTTACTACAATTGTAAGTATTTTATTCACTTAGGATCAAACTTATTATTTCAAACTTTTATGTAGGTACTTAACAAGTAATGCAGTGGCACAGTTAAATAATTGTCCTTAGTCTGTGAAAATATTCAACCATTTCAATGTTTGGATGTAATCATTGACTATTGGATACTGAAGTAAACATCCCATCTATTTGGACCAGCTGTGGCCAATTTTTTATTAAAAAAGAACCTAGTTGAGTGAGCCAGTCACAGAATGCGAGTGTCTAAATTTATATTTTATAAATTACCTTAATTTTGGTTCCTTAACAGGTTGATGGGTCATAACGGTTGCTATAGCTCACCATAAGTAATTCCCTAAGTTTGACTTGGTAAAAAGGTTTGTGTATTTGACAGCATTTAGTAATTTAGATCAGCGCAATCAATACGTGGCTCACATCAACTAGGACAATTTTGATAAAATATCTGGCTACAAATTAAAAATGGGGATGGAATGTCTAGTATTAATAGCAAAAGATGTAATAGGCTATTAAAACATTATTACCTACTAAAACATTAGGCCTATAACTGTTTGGAAACAAAGAATATTTTTCAGATCCTGTTTCATTTAAAAATTCTTTGACCATCCAGAATTTAGGGATACTACTTGTTGATTTCTACTGCATAACTTAATGGAAAACCTTTAAATTAAAACCCAAACCTCAGTAAGCCCACAGAGAAGTACCTACAGAGGAGGATACATTCAATGGTACACTTAAATGCTGGTGTCCAAAGCAAATTCGATTTCTTGTCCCCTTCCACTCTCCTTTCTCCCCCTCGCCATCAAAACTACAGGGCTGACTCTGTAAAAGCCCCTGTGCACTACAACTGCTGTACAAATGTGCTATATGTGGCAATTGTCGTTCGAGCTCTTCCTTGCTTGATATTAGTACATTTCAGCCACACACCAGAGCTAAAAGCGGACGGTTGTCCCATCAACTTGTATCCTCTGTATCTTGAATTATCTGTGGTAAACCTGAATATTCAATTGGAGTTAACAACATTATGTGCTTAAAAGGTATGCTGTAAACAATGTTAACAAGTAAGCAAAATTACTCTGGTTCAAGTTTGTACCATCGACTATTGGGTACCGAACTGAAGTAGACATCACATCTATATGTACCAGCTGTCGCCAATTTTATACTAAAAAAGAACCTAGTAATGTGATCCAGTCACAGAAAGAGTCTATTCAACCTTATTTTTTATTACTGACAAATGGTGAGGTCATTTTTTATTAAGGTCTAAATGATGAGTCATATAACAGTTTCTATAGCTCAAAATAAGTCGTTCCATTTGTTTGATTTCTTAAAAAAGTTTGTGTATTCCACAGAAATCAGTAACTTAAACCAGAAGAATCTGTTGCTGGCTCATATCAAGTACGACGATTTTGATAAAAAATACCCATGCTGCAGCAAACCTGCCTACTAAGCGAATTTCCATTTGCCCGGATTGATTTTCAATTAATCTATTAAATTAAACATTTATGTTTAAAGAGTACCTAAAAAACACCAGCCGTTCAAATTCATATACATATGTCCGTCAGCATGATAACTCGAGCAAAAGTTTTCCGATTTTGATTAAATTTGTAAACCTACGCTTATTCGACCGAGTTTATCTAGCATGATCAGACCATGGGAATGGGGTTTTATGGGGTAATAATTATTTAGTTTTTCTCCTTTTAGACCCTCAAAAAATAAAATTTCCCAAACTCTCTCTTGACCATTTTGAAGACCCTAAAAAACAAATAATTTAGTACATTGAAGAGTTTTTGTGTGAAGCATTTTGATGGTTCGAAACTTTTGATCCAATTTTCCTTGATCATTGCAGGACTTTCAATAAAATATTTCGAAACTTAACAGCTGGTCTCAGTAACAAAGCTACACAAGGTGTAACACCTCATCCTTAACTAATATTTAGGTTAAAATATGCACATAGGGGGTGTCCCATCTTAAATTAATATGCATATTTAAAGTTACTATTGATTAAATTGCACTTTTCTTATTTTGAAGTTGTTCTGCAATAAGTTTGTAGCTAGGTATATATTTTCCAGATGTCTTAAAAAAATGTCTCAGAATGTAGTAGTCTTTTAACCTAATCAATCGTGTTTTAATAAACATGTCATATTTCATTTCCAGAATCTAAAATGACGACTTCGCTGCATCCATCTGCAGCAATGGCGGTAGTATAATGTTTTAGATCTTTCAGTTCTTTTTACTATAACTAAACTATAAGTTCATAGTCTATTATTATATGAAACTGATTCATTTCTATAATGGTTTTTGAGTCGGGGATTTAGGGGTTTGAACCCCACCTTGACCATAAAACGTGGTTTTTTTTACAATTCAAATGGTTTATCTAGGGTAACATTTTTTTTATAATGTCCCTAAATAGCCTCAGAACGTAAGATTAGCGGTTAATTTTAGTGTCTGCACCCGATTTTTTTCTTTTCTTTTCATTCTACTAAAAATTCATTGCTGATTCTGAATAGGACGTTCTTTTTCCGCTTAAAACGACGATATAAACTCGGAAAACTACAAAAACAATAAAACACATTTTTTATCAAATTAAGTCATGTGGGTACTCTAAATTCCCGGAATAACAAGCAGATCACGAATAATCTGCAAGACATTGATGAAAATGTGATACGATCAGTAATAACCCCAACTCATAGAGGATCGACTTGTGGGAATTCAGGAAGACATCCAATACGGTTTATCATCAGGAGAAAAGGGTAATTAGACGGTTAAAAGGACAATTTTACAGGTAATAGTGGGTAATTAGCCAGGAACAAAATTAACTTTATACTAGGTGAACCAGTGTGAATTCGCACAAATTATAAATTAGGATATTAAAATAGGGTACTTTCCTGTTAAAGGGAACATTCATTATTATCGATGATTTTTTTTTTTCGATATATCGATATTTTTGTTTTCCGATCAGATCTATTACAAATTGACAACAACTAACTGATCTTGTTTAGGCTAAAATAGTCTATATGGATTAAGAAATGAAACTATGTTCTAAGCTAACCTAACATAACCAACCAAACTTGCTGTACCTTTTAAAACTTCCGTTTGGGTTTGATAATAGACAAGCAAGTTTAACACGGAATTTTAAAATGTTACAGCAAGTTTGGTTAGTTATGTTAGGATATTTTTTTAGATCAGTTTCATATACTGAACAATATTTATCGTAGTTGTCAGCTGATATTTTTCAATTTGTTAATATCGATATATCGAGAAAAAAATCATCGATAATAATGAATGTTCCCTTTAACACGAAAGTACCTAAAATAGCAACGTCACGTCGTTAGAAGTTGCGTCGTTGTATCGGCGTTGGTCTTGAGCTTGATCGTTTACTATATGCATTCTAAGTTCTTTTTGCTGTTCAGTAGGAGTATTTTGCAGGACGGAGCTCATCATGCTGAAAACTTGCATGTATAGATTAATATCAACCAAATGTTGAATCAAAATGTGCATGAGTTCAGTGCTGCAAGAGCCATTAGCTTTGTTTAGCATTCTTTCTTGAGTAGCGGTTTCGACGTCGTAGATATAAATTTGGGAGATGCTCCCCTTCTGACGGTTGAAGGTTGCCGATTGAGTAATAAATTGTGTCGCGCACCTTATACATTAAAGGCCCTCCACCGTTATGTTCTTCAATTTTAGCTCGAGTGCTGACCATCGCGAGCACGGAGTTGTACGATCTAATGTTCTCTTTTTAGTTTCTGCTCAAACGATTTGCTCCATTAAGTAGGCTCTGGCTATACAGTAATAGCTTTCTCGGTATGGTGGTAGATTCACTTTTCCTTTAAGGCAGCAGGATGAAAATCCTTCGCCTCATCCTCTCTGTTCTTCTTGAAAATTTAATGCCAAATTTCTTACATTTTAATGCCAACTCGCCAAGTGAATGCTGCTGAATTCTTGTATTTGTCAGTGTAAGTACACTAACTGTTCCAGCTTCTCATCTGGGCTCCTTTTGCATTGCTTGCCGTATATTGATTCGCCGTGTCCGACCGGCAATATTTCTTTGTCGTCGGGTCCTTGCGTTTAAACGAAAATATAATGTCCTATAGGTAAAATTTCTTTGTCGGGTTTCTAATTATTTTTAAAAAACATGCAAACTGTTTACATTTAAAAACCAAAACAGCTGGGATTTAATTTGTTTTTAACTAATGTATTGACATCTGTTTCAGAATATCAACACTCAAATAAATCACAATGTTATCCTTATGGAAGGGACTTTGAGGGCAGCCCACGCCTTTAAAAATATATATTTCGAAAATCTAAAGCCAGTTTGCACATCTACACACCTAGACGAACATTTAGGTATATAATGAGGGGTTAAATCTTAAAACAAAAAAGCCTTATTGTTCACAAAGTTACATGTCGCGTATTAAATACTATAGATGAAAACACAAATTGAACACTGATATCATTTGTGGGAAGAGCAGCTCTGGGTTTATGCGGATTTGTGGATGCATTACGAGTTTTGAAGTTAGGTTAGATTAGGAAGGAAAATTGTAGATTATAGTCTACCGGGTTGTTAATTGTAATGAATCTCGTTGTTTCATGTTAGATCAAAATAAATATTGTACATTTCATGATCTGATTGTTATTCCTGTTAATTGGAGTACATCTGCATAACTTGTTTTAATTAAAAAGTATTTTTTTTAGTTTTTTTAAGGTTTTTGGGGTTTTCCCTCAATTTCTACAAAAAGAATGTCATTTTCAGAATCAGTGTTGACTTTTTAGTAAAATGAGAAAATTTCTGAAAATCTTGTTCGGACCCTAAAATGCATATTTAGTACTAATAACAAGGGATGTAATATGAAGGTTGTAGGTTAACCATACCAACATTTTGTTGGACAGCTCTCTATTGATCAAAGACAGACGAATGGTGGAAGAGATGGATATGATTCCCTCCCAAATTTAATATATAGCATAGATAGAATTTATGTTGTGTGAGTTCGGATAGGTACATTAGTTTGAAGATGATGCGGTGCTGTGGGGTTAAAATGGGAAAGTTTTCCCTTCAAATCCTTTATAAGGATATAAGCTGCAAGAAGGTATAGGTACGGATAGTTTGTTCCTTATGTAGAATAGTTTTTCTTAATGTGTTTCAGGGAAGAAACATCATAGTCATACAGAGCGGCTGGTTGGTTTAGGTCTTTGTGTGGGTGTGTACAGAGCTAGAGTCAAAATCAGTGGCTGGTTTACTGAAATTTGATACCTTAAGCTCATTAAATATGCCTTAGCGTATTTTATTGGTGGTAAAAAAATATATATTAAACCAAATTTAATAAGGAAGTTAATAAAATATTTAGAAACAACTTGAAGGATTATGTAAACGTGTATTTAAGACATTTAAAATAGAATCTGACAATAAATTTTCTATATAGGCTATTTTGTATTATTTTTTTCTGAATGAAATATATATAACTACAAATAGTTTACATTCTGGCTAAGAACAAGAGTAGGTCAATTTTTCTCTATTCTAAAACCATTAATCTTAATCTGATTTTTATTTTATCCAATGTATTTTGATTTATAGACAACAACTGTGAATGGAGGACAGACAGTGGTTGGACATCCCCTGATGGAGCCAGAGGTAATACAATGATCGTCATCTCCTTTGAGATATCTTCATCGTCTTCCACAATCACTGCACAATCATTATCATTTGAATATCTTCCTCAGTCACGAAAACATTATTACTTTCTTCCACTGTCGTGGAAAAATCCTAAATACCACGCAGTGGAAACGAATACATCATCTCCCGTGTTCACGGAAACGTTATCATCATCTTCTGCGATCTTGGCAATATTCTAATCACCTCCTAAAGTTGTAGAGATATCATCATCGTCTCTCGTGGTAATGACATTTTCATGAATTTAGCCTGTAACAACCGAAACATCATCATTTCGTCTTTTGTGTTGCGGCAAAATCATGAAAATTTCCCGTAGTCTTGTGGACATTATCGTCGTTTTCTGTGATCGTCGTCAAATTCTAATCGTCTCCCGTGGTTTGTGGACATAATCATTATCTCCCTCAGTCATGGCAAAATCCTATGAATATCCCCGTGGAAAGGGAAACATCATCATCGTCTTCCACGATCACTGCAAAATTCAGATTGTTTTTTCGAGGTCACGGAATTGGTATCGTCGTCACCCACGATTGTGGAAACGGCAATAATTTTGGATCCCGCGTTCTTTGTAGGTATCGGCATCGACTTTTGACGATCAGTTATCAATACCGATACCAATGCCCAAGTATTGGTGGTATCGAGAATCGACACATTCATAGTAAATATGCCGTATATGTTTTCTCTCATCAGAGTACGTTGCTAATGAACTAGATCTAATTTAAATTTTAATATGATTAAACAATTCTTTATTATATTTTTTGCAGTTGACATTTTTCAGGTACTTTGGAGGCAAAAAAGTACATTTATCTAAATGGCACTGCATTTTCATTGTTAATAAAATTTATAATGCAAATGCTTTATACTGTATACTTTGTTGTTGTCAAAAAACCTTAACCTTGTTGTTTGTTGGCATGTTAAAATTGTACTCTTGGCAATCAAGAAAACCAGTATTTTCTTTCCAGGAAATACCTGAGAAAAGATGTGAATTCTTTTAGGAGTTTTTTGACTGTCCAGTGTATGCTTAATAATTGCTTTATTAAAACCTGGAAACATTTTGTGTATTTTTTTTTACATATCATACAAAAGCAACCAACACATGTTGGAAAACAGATTTTTTTTTTAATCTCTCTATTAATATTTTTTTCAGGCCTATGTTATATACAGTGTAGGACTCTAAAAATTAGCATGTTCAGTGATGTTATCTTGAAAATAAATACTAGAGAAATGAAATAGTAGCACTTTATGGGTGACAACAATATTGTTATTAATGTTATACTGTGTTTAAAAAAGTAATTTGTTTTTAGGCTGTAGTCACGGTGTACAAACTGATGCAACAACTTGAAACCCAGTCTTCTATTATAATTGAAGGGGTGGCGAATTATAATGCCGATAGGTAAGATCAACTTTTAAGCAGTAGTTATTTAAGTGTAAGGTTTAAAATGTCTCTCCATTTCAATATGTGTTATACAGGGTGGAACGAAGTTAGTGTTAAAAAATTGTATGTGTTAAACTACTAAGTATTGGTGACAAAATGGCACCAATTTAAGTTTCCATACCCTCAATGCTCACACCACTCCTCTTAAAGGCTTCAAAACCAGGATGTATCAATGGCTTCTAGATAATCCATTCTTTACTATTAATGAGTTTATGGCCACCAATATAGATAATATATTTTAAGTTTTCAAATTAATGATAAGCATTAACTTTTGTTTGTTTGGATGAGGTTTACCAATTTTATTAATTTAATGTTTATGAAGCTGTTGTTTGGGTACTAGGCTGGAGTTGCAACTTTGGTTTTAATTTAAATATATTTAGATATTATTGATGATTATTATCGATATTATTGATATTATTTGATGTTATTGACTGTATATATTTATGTTGACCATGCCCATCTCATGTAAAAATGATCAACGGCAATAAATATCTTATGTCTTATGTCTTATGTCTTATGTCTCACGGGTAGGGAATAACAGACAATTTAAGATTTTTTCAAAATATTTGTATTTGCTTACATAAAATGGCCATAAGTGCACTAAACATTGTTTTTATTCCAAATTAATTGTTATTTTTAGAATCCTCGTTAAATTTCCAATATTATTAGTACAAATTCATTGAGATGAAACATCTGTATAAGCCCTTATTTGGCAATGGAAGTTTGAATTTGTGATTTTTTAGAAAAAAGTAATAACTTTTTCCAAAGTTTTTCTATACTATACTGGACTGTAAAGAGTGTCAAATATTACTAAAAACTTGTGCAGTTAATAACCTTTAAAAATTATGCATAAACATCTACTGTTTGTTTAATTTGTCGTTCTCAAATTTATCTTGAAAAACACGGAACGGCTAATGTTTAATCTATATAAATAAAATTACAGTTTTGTCACTACATTGCTTAGAATCATGCGGTTTTTTGGTTATTTTTACGTTTCATAGTCTAAGAAAGCCGAAACGAGTCTTATCTCAATTTCTGTCTGTATGTCTGTTTGTCTGTCCATTCTGTGACTCCGTCTGTAACGCCAAAATGTCATTTTACGCGGCCTACTCCTAGAAAACTAGAGTACCGATCAAGGTTTTTAATCATTTTTCTGTATTTACTGGATTGGTGAGAGTGTCTTTGGCTAAAAAAACATGGCCTCGCTTCTTCGAAAACAAAATAACGAACCACCAAAAACCCAATTTTGTTCGATTTTTGTCAAATTTTCTCCCAATTTATGTCTATTACATTACATTTTATGAAATAACGATCAGCTGTTTGGATTAGTTCTCACTTCTAGCTGTCACCGATATGTTTACATTAAAAGTTGTTTACAAATACCGCAACCATTTCCGATCAAGTTTTGTCAGCACATCCAAACCAAGTGAGATTAAAAACGTTGTGCCTTACTTAACCGGTTTAATTAATCGCAAGTGCAACGATTGTTCTTGAGTTTTGATAACCGGGGAAAATACCGTGAATCGAATCAGTGTTGTATTAGTGCAAGGAAACTTACATTTTTTTAATCATCGTCACCAATACCGTAGCTTACAAAGGTTTCCACTCATTGACGGCGCTTCAAGGACAGTTGTGTAAAGTGCAAAGTAAGAAATCACGACTGCAGTGGGTGATCGTGGATGTTGCTGCGATCTTGGAAGATATTTCTGATTTCGCTGTGATCGTACCGTAACAGAGGTTTAACTTAACAGATGTAGCTAAACTCGCTTGTCCAATGTGTCACTTTTGGTTTCTACTTACATTTCGACAACGATATCGGTACTTTTCGTACTTAGGAAATAAAACTACAAACGTACAAAACCCCAGATTTGTGCGTTTTTTGTCACATTTTCTCCGAATGTTTGCTAGATATATGTACCGATTATCGTTTAGAGATTATGTAATCTTAAGAAACGTTTGTTTGGATAAAGGTGGTTTCTTCAACCTGTCATTAATATGTTAACATTAAAAGCTGCTTACAAATAATGCTATTAATAGGAAATAACTTTGATTTTCGAAAAAAAAAAAAAATTAAAACCAAAGGAGATTAATAACTTCGGTACCGGTACTGCACCACATCAAGTGAAAGTTTTTTTTTTAGCAAACCATAGTGAGTTTTCAAAGCTTTACATTGTTTACGTTACATGTTACATGTTTTGTGGCCCGTGTGTATTTATTTATTTTTATAATTGCCAACTGATTAACACCTATAATACAGGATGATTAGAAGGACAGTTTGAATTAGTCGTAACGTAAGTACTACAGTTCTTTTCTCAAATGTAAACGTTGGTTTTTGGTACCAGTACTGCTACTTTTCCTTAGAACCGGTGGTAGCGTAGCAGTACCGGAAAGAATAATTTTTACATACAAACACATAACTATTTTCACTATTTATTTATAAACACTGCACCTTATTGCTTATTAAATTTAATTGATGTCTTACTTTTTTTTGTGTTTTCCGTCTGGACTCCAAAATGTTGTGTGGACTCAATTCTGTATTTGTGTGTGTATGTCTATTGGTAATGCATCAATGTCCTTATTTTTCATGGAAAAGACAAGAGCACCATTGTTAATAAAAATTTCAACCCGAATAAAGTGTGCAGTAGTGAGGTTGAGGTAGTGTTTTAACTACTTTTAACCAGTGTGAAAAGTAACTTTCAATTACAGGCCTACCTTAGGGCTATGCCTCATAGATCTATACTGTAAAGCAATTCCTTTCATCGTTAGATATAAAATATGGATTAACACGATCGGGTGACATTTAATTGCGAAGCATTCGTTTTGGCTTTGAAACTGTCAGATATTGTATTTGAGAAGGTTTATATGTATTCCTAAAGAGTTATAGTTTTGCCATCATATCTGGAAAAATGCACACTAAATATGCAAACCAACTCCTGTTCTGAATATAAGGTTTTTTTTAACTTACTACAAGATTCCCGTACGTAGAACGGGCAAACAGCTAGTTTCCTATAAAAAAACATTCCTTGGCCATATCATAGAAGCCAATAGGCTTCTATGATATGGCAGCAGCTGCTTGAAAAATCATTGAAATGGGTATTATTGCAATTTTCAGAATCCTTGTAAAATTCCTAATAAGAATATTGAGGAATTGTTAGGATTAACACTTTATGAACCTATGTTTTGTGATAAATCTTCACTTAGGGTTTTTTTCTTATTTTTTGGGATAACTTAAATATTGTTTACAGTGTTAGTTCATAGTACTTTCACCATAGTACATTCAACCGATGTGCGAGATTGACTTAATGCAAAATACACAACTTAAATGATAACAATGATAAAGATGGGTCATATGGTGTGGTTTGCTGGCATGCCAGGTCGCCAGATCTTAAGTCCACCGGACTTGTTTTGTGTGGCTATGTGTAGTACTTGGCCTCCTCATCTTTAGTGGAAGATAATAAGGAATTTTACAACTGGATAATGAATGCAGATGTGCTAGTCAGAGGAACGTTGTATTTTAATGTTACTGTTGGTGCCACGTGCAAAAAAACTTGGCTGTATATCAGGGAAAATAAAGGAGATTAACAAAAAAAACTCAAGTAGTTGGCATCAAATAGAAGGCAACTATTAAAACATAAAGGAAGTAAGGAACAGTTATTTAAGTTTAGAATATTGTGTGTTTTAGAATTAACTTTTAGTTTTTGTGTAAATAAGTTAAACTATATATTTATGAGGTTTTAACAATTATTTTAGTAAAGAAATATATTACTTGGCTGAGTTGTTTCCATTAGCATGTGTCTAAGCACTACAGTCAATAAATTGGTATACCGTACTTTACTTAGGTTAATTTTGGGTTTTCGGTGAACATATTGACAACATTGTAAAGTGTAGTATCTACATAAAGAGGTTACTCCATTGGAAGTATTGGCTTATGATTGGAAAAAAATCTTAAGTTAAATGTACCATGTGTACCTAACTTTAAACAATATTCAATGTATTCAACAAATAAAAATAAAACTAGTTTAACATGTTTTCACAAAACATTACGTTTATATGGATGTTAATCCTAATAGATCTGTAATATTCTTACAATAAATCTCACAAGGATTCTAAAAATTACAATAAACCCTATTCAAATGTAATTGTTATTGCAGCTATTGCCATATTATTTAAGCAAATACATGTTATTTTAAAAGGAGGCGATTTTGGCCATTCCGTGTTTTTCAAGAGAAACCCTTAAATTTGAGAACGACAAATCTAACGAACAGTAGATATTTATACATCATTTTAAAGGTTATTAACTGCAGAAGTTTTTAGTAATATTTGACACTCTCTAGCCCTTCAAGACGGTTTGACGAGCGTTACTCGTCACGCGTAAAAAGACACTGCTACGGTTTGACGAGTGCCGCTCGTCATGACATGACCCGATAAGTGGTGGTCTCTGACGACGATTTAGTGAACTATTTGGAACCCGGACTCTATGGAGCATGTTGTCCATTAGTTGTTCGACATTTTTCAGCTGTTATCGATCGCAGTAAGTGCGACAGAGACAGATGTATTGTTTGCAAACTTGAGTGTTGTTTTGTTTGTTCGTCTCGGCGTCAACTGTTGATACGTACTGACGTTCTCAATCGTTTTTTACGGTATAATCGTAATTATATAGCATAAAGTGGTGTTAAATTATATTTCAAGTTATAAAAAAGTTAACTAGGTGATTGTTGATTCTTAGTTTTTGTTTGAAAATGTAATTTATGACGTGTGTTTGGGAAAGTTGCGTGCGTGTTGTTGTGCAAGGTTAGGTTTGTGCTAGGTTATTCTGACAAAAAGATATAAGTTTTAATTTTAATGTTATTTTTACAAAAGTGAAATGGCAAGATCTAGTGAAATAGACCGTTGGATAGATGAAGATGAACACCTATTGTCGTCAGATGAAAGTGAGGAGGAGGAAATAGACTTCGCTC